GGTCAAAGGGAGACAAGGCAACGCCAGAAGCGAGAAGCAGAAAGCACTCTACTGGTCAAGCACTTAAAAGCCACAAGGTCTTTCACTCTTCTAAGTGCCAGCATCTTTTCAAAAAGTATATATTGAGCAAAATGAGGAAGCCTGGCTGTGGATATTTATTATCTTAATGAAAGAAAACACTGGGATACATAAGGGCACCAAAGTTTGAACTTAGGAACCCACATGTGAATATATTCTTATGAAATATTTTTTTCCCCAAAGCTGGTGGTGAGACCTAGTTCTCAGCATGGTACAGAGGAACTCTAGTTTTCCATTGATTGAGAAATTCTGTCTGTGCTCAAAGGTGAAACCTGCAAAACAGTCCACATGGCACAGTGCCCACATCGGCTGGGGTGGCTCGCAGCCACGCTGCTCCCTCTCTGCTTCCCAAATGTCTTCTGCACCCATAGACCCACCCTGAGGAGTCAGAGAATTTGCTGTATGAAAGCAACAGCCAGTTGTACCCTGGGGTCTGCACAACCCCTATAAATTTCTGTCTGCAAAGGGAAGGAGGGACCATAGCTAGGTAGGGCAACACTGGAAGACATTTTAGGTTTCTTGCTTTCTGCTCTACACCAGTGCCACGAGACCATTTTTTTACCCATTACCTCTTGCAGCTCTTGCTGACAGACACAGATGGGGGTTCACAAGGAGCATGGAGCACAGTGATACCAAACCAGTGATTTGTGCCATTGCGTTTCCGTTCTCCAGCACGGACTTCAGCAAAGACCAGCAGTGAGAGGGTATCTTCTGACCAAACCAAGATCTGGTCCTTCAGAATCCCACCATGACTTCATTCAATGTTTTCTTCTTCTTCTTCTAATAGCCAGTATATTCCTATGCTCTAACCTTTCTCCATCCCCAACAGGTCTTTTTTAGGGGCATCACGGTCAATGCAGTGCGAGGATTCCCAGTGAGTTCAGCCATGTTTCTTGGCTATGAACTTTCCCTCAAAGCAATGAAAAGAGACCAAACTGAGACCAATCCTTAACTTCCAGGTCAGCTCATAAAGACCCTTTAGCTTTATTAAAATTTGAGAATTAATCTTTGAATCAAATGGAGTTGCAATGGTATAGATCTTCTGAAAGTCAGATAACTTACAGGGGTACCTGCATCTGAATAGTCAAACACTTTCCAAATTTGGGTCTGTGGGATTTGGAGCAGAAAATAGATGTGCTGATGGATTTTGGTTTTATTCCAGATCTCCTGGAATTTCACTGCAATCTGTTGCGATTGTTTTGATTAGTATGAATCAGAAAAGAAAAACCGAGAGTATTCTCTAACATTTTATAAGTTTTGAAACACCATTCTCACTAAAATCCCTGCACAGTATCCTTTCCTCCCTTGATCCATCCACAAAGACCTGAAATTAAACCCTTCCAAAGTGTCTTGACTATCAACTCACAGTTGTACTCTTTCACTCATAAACCTAGGGTTGCATAAAGGAGCAGCATTAAAAATACCTGATTAAAGAGACTTTTTTAGCAGTTAAATACTCAAGAATATTCTTGGCAGTCTTTGCTGTTTTCTGCAGTACTTCATAAACCTCCTTCCTTCTTATTTCAAAAGCGTTGCCAGGAAGACCCGAAAGTCTCCTACTCTCCTGAGCCGAATCAGCAGTGTGGTGTTGGTGAGGGCTCAGCTGCTCTGACCGAAGACTCCAGTCCTGCACCCACAGCATCTGCTTTCTCTTCTGCCATGGACTTAGTCCCTGGAGGACTCAAAAAACTGCACCAGCTCAATCAAATCCAAAGACCATTTTCTTATCAAATCTCTGTTGTCTAAGAGCACCTTAATAATTCCCATGGCAGTGTTGGGCTTTTTCACCGATGACGTTTTTCCTATTGAGCCGAGAGAACAACTTACTTCCCTCACCCACACGGGTGAGATCATACCCAAACGCAGCCCATCCGACATCAGCCAAGGGAGTGTCTTTTGTACAACGCTGCGTATAATGCTCCTCTTTTTTGTGAGCAAGGAAAGGAGGAGGTGTGGTGGGTGTGCAGGTGCTTTTCGTGTAGAAAGGTCGGGACACCCACAAAATCCTAGCTTGCTCTCAGGATCAAAGACATAGATGACTCCACCCGTACAAACAGATACTCGTGTTTTACATCACAGAACTCTCCTGTTCGCCACAATTTATCATGGTATCATGAAAAAAAAAAAAAAATGCGAAGGGCTTCAACAACTTCAGTTTGTTATCCGAGTTATAAGTTAAATTGGGAAAGAAGGGAATGTTAAATTCAGAGACTAAACTGCTCTTTTTCTTCAAAAAACAATAAAGCAAGTCTGCACTGCATATAGATGGCTGCCTACTCACCTTGTGTAGCCCTCCAGGGACCTGCTAGCGGTGTCTCGTTAGACCTTCTGATCTCCCTGGCTTGCCAACTGCCAAATCCTGCAGACATCACTTTGCAGCCTTGAGAGACCATCACCAAAGGATGTCTCTTTAAGGGATGCAGAGTTTAACCCAAAATATTCTCTAAACTACACAAGCCAGCTTCAGACCCCCAGCTCTTTGCTGCAGTCCCACTGAGACAAGTGGGGCAGACCCAGGTCTCTCTTTGCTCTACCTCAGCCTTTCAATTATTCCAAGATCTTTTACATCGTGATTATTTGTTTATGCTGTTAAGTATCTCCACGCTTTATTTTCTAAGCGTGGAGCTTCTGATGCCAAAACCCAAGAAGAACCAGCTCTGCTGGGACAAGAGGACTCTGGTGGCACCCTCAGGAGATGCTGAGAGATAACAGCCCATGTGACATGGGGGACAGTCTGGGACAACACTGTCCTCGGGGAAACGTGTGGTTACCCCCATCTTCACCTGGAGAGAAAAAAAAAAAAAAAAAAAGCCCAGCAACAGCAGTTTTAGCAGATGGCCTTAAAAGAAGTTTCTGAAGGCAACCAGGAGCAGCTGTGCAGCCTTCCTCCATAAAAGGAGAAGGAAAGAGAAACTCTTGTGTCTTCTTCCCTGAATGAATGGAGGAATTGGCGATAAAACTTGAAGACCTCAGTAGAAAGTGCCTAAAAACTTGGGTCTGGAGCAGCACTCAGAAACGGGGTCCCCAACCTTGGGCTCCTCTTCACTGGGGCCCAAGTTGAGAACAGAAGTGTGGCTTCCCCCAGAACTGGCCTTAGAAAGTGGGAGAAACAGCTGGTGTTACTTCATCTCAGGACTTGCAGGTGAGGAGGCTCACAGTGCCTTTGAGCTTGGAAAGAACACAGGGAACCGTTTTTGATAAACAGTATGGCTAAAATTGATGAGCCTTCACACAAGTATTTGTTGCTGGCTGCATTTAAGGATTCATCCTTTCCATGTTGCCTGTTTTAATACACATATGTCAAACATGTTCTTTAGATGCATAATATCATATGTCTCCAGGGATAATACTGGGGGAGACTCATTTTTCAGTGCAAATAAATGATGTTGCTTATCTGCCTGCATTATGTAAAATGCACCATGAATTAATTAAACTGATAAGGTTTGCAACAAGCTGTGTATCTGAATGATCCTGCCCTCACAGTGCCCAGGTTTGGTCTGTTTAGTGCTCCCCGGGGCATAAAGCCCTGAGATCCATGTAGGAGTTTTGTGGTGATTTTTTTTTTTTTTTCTGATGTTCTTCATCCAGTTAAACCAGTTTTGAGATGGATGCCCAGGATTTACTTGCATAAAACTCTTGTGTAACACCCACCTGCCAGAAGGAGCTGTCGGGGAGAGCTGTGGACTACCTGGTGTAGCAAGGGAGCAGAGGTACAGGAAGTTTTTAATATAAAACATGAAAAGTGGGAAGTGAATGAAAAGCTTTGGCCACATGATGGCATCCTTGTCCGTGGCAGTGCATGGCCATGTGCCGCTCGCTGGAGCTGCCAGACAATTTCTGTCTGTCTTGCTCCATTCAACACCGAGTCCAGGTTTGCTGCCAGACCAGCACACGCTCCCTTCCCAACAGCAGCCCCACGCTGGGCAGAGTGCAGGGGATTTTGGGGTGCCCCTGCCTGGCAGAGGGGGAGGCAAGCCCTGGATGCGCTGGCTCATCAGTGTATCACCCCGTCAGCATTCCTGGACAAACCACGAGCGAGGCAAAGCAACGCTGGGCTGGAGCACGAGGGTTTCGAGGGTGACAGCAGCCCTGGCCGCTGTGCAGGTCGGGCTGATGCTGGGTCGGGCACAGCAGGGTTGAGTCACGCAGGTTTTGGGGCACAGCACTTTGTGTTATGGTTGTACTCATTGCTGTGATTGATCACAGTGGATCCCTGCATGCGGAGCCCGATAAATAATTTAGTCTTGCTTTTGAAGTAGTGAGCAAGTGGCTGCATCACCAAGGAACGAGGCCCAGTGGTGGGGTTGGGTGATGCTGCAGGGGTCAGCCCCATGTCTTAGAGATGAGGGATGGCAATTACAATTTATGCACACAGAGACTTGACAGGTCTATGTCTTCTGAATGATTTTCTTTATGATACATCGAATGCATCAATTTTCAGAGATACTATCAGTATCACTCATCATTGACAGAAGTGTAAGATCTCTAAGGGATCCTCTTTGGGGACCTGGTGATGGGAGTTTAAAACAGTGCCTTGCCTGGCAGGCAAACAGCTTGATTCAAAAATACAGCTGATTCAAATCCCTTGTATAGGGCACTGATTGCACATGTTGGTGATTTTGTCCCTGAATTACAAAAAAGAAAAATCCTTCGTGTCAACAGAACTCAGGATACAGACCTGCTCCTCTGTTGGTGCTGTGGCCGTAGTGACCTGCCATCAGTGGCACATTCCCCAGCACCATGCACACCGGAGTGGAAGAAGCCATCTGCTTGATAGCTTCTTCACAGATGCCCCCAGAGCCCCACATTTCTAAGATAAATGCAGGAAATCCTGAAATTGGTAACAAATGCAAAGGGAGACCAGAAGGACCAGGGATACCTACTTCTATGTTTTTCTTGCCTGGAATATGAAAGCATAGATCAGACCTGTCATGCCTCAAGTAAGTCTGTAATTGCTTGATTCTCATGTTGCTGGTGGTGTTCCAGCTCTTACAACACCCCATATTACTTAATGAGGCTGTGCAGCTGTTTTTCCCTGTTTATACACAGTGTAGTGCTATGGAAGGAAAAAAAGATAACAGTAGCTTATTTCCCCATTTGGAAAAAAAAAAAAAAAAAAAAAGGGAATCAATTTCCCAGTGAAAAGCTAATTTTCTGGAAAACAGCCCTGACCTGGAGGAAGGTCTTTGATGCTGGGAGAAGCTTTGTGATGCCCATGGGGTGTGAGGTGGGAGCAGGCTGGGAGTGCCCTCTGGCCAGGAGGCAAGGAGAGGGCTACCTCACCGCCCTGCTTCTGCATCCCCGCTGCTGCTGGGCACCCATAATGTCCCCGAGTCCTTCTCCCAGGCAGGGTGCAGCTGCCATCCTGTGCAGGAGCTCACTCCCAGCAGCCTGAGTGCCTGCTGACGCCCTGCCCGTGATGGCTCCGGGCCAGGCTGACATTTTCTCACGCCTTGGGAATCCCTGCCTGGTGTGTCCACGTCTTGGGGAAGGTGAGATCACCCATCTCGGTTTCTCTTTTTCTGTTGTACTCTTAAGACAGAGGAGTAGGTGATGCCCTTGCAGACATTAAGATATTATCTTACTGGTTTATCTAAAGCTCACTGTTTTATTCTGGTAGAGATTTCTCTCCTAGACATTGCATTCATGTACGCCAAGAAGGCCAATGCCTGTCTTGTACCTGTGAAGAAAAAGGTGGAGTCGGAAGAAATGGTGAGATCCAAGGAGACAAGTGGGAAGAAGTTTGAGCTGCTAAATTGAATATAAACTGCACAAGAATAGCTTCCTTTGAAGCCATCTTCTTCCTACATATGCTCTTATAATGATTCATAGACAGATCACTGCCAACTTAGTTAAGTAGCGTGTAAAGTTTCCTTCCAAATCTAAGGAATTAAGCTGTGTAGTGAGGGGAAATTTAAGTAGTTAGTGCTTTTCAAAGCAGTTTTCATAAACTGTAGATCCTGTGACAGCTCCAGAATCAGACACTAGTGGAACCACCGACCTGTTAAGAGCCATACATGCAGCAGAAGGAAAGGATCTTTTCAAGGGGGTATCAGAGGTCGCATACGAGGTTTCACTGTAAGATATAAAATGCTGGATATATCAAGAAATCCTTTCTTAGTATAGGTGAAATACTATGGCTGCTGGACTGTAGAACACCAAATCTCTGCAAAGAATAGGAAGGCTTTCTTGAGTGATGGAGGAAGCAATGGATAACCTTGGGTCACAAGGAGAAATATCTGGAGAAAGAAGAACCTTGCAGCTGGGGAAGCACAGGCTTGAGACTGCCCTGCTGCCAACACCCGGTGCTTCAGCACTGGCACCTACGTGGCTTCGCCTGATGTAAAAGCACCAGGACTTACGTTGTTCATCTTCACAGATTGGATCGGCTCAGGGTCTATTCCCCATGTCTCATAACATTTTAGCAAGAGCGTAGCCTACTTTACACATCGCGTAGAAAATCCTGCCAACTCTTATGGAAGAGGGCCAACCATTCTTACTCATGCAACTAGGTGTGAACCAATATCCGTGCTTATTTTGTTATTAAATTGTGATTACCATCTTCCAATCAAGCAGACTGCAGGTGGTTTTTCAATGCTTACAGCATGGAAAACAAGCTGCAGTGCGGGTCTGGCTGGTGGAGGGCGCTAACGCAGCCACGGAGTGAATGTCTTGCGCCGTCTGTCTGTCCTGCATGTCCAACCTTCCTCTGTGTGCTGTGCTGCGAGGGAAACCTCACAGTGGGATAAGCAAGGCAGGGTGAGTGGACTTACGATCTGAGAGCTCTGTAACGTGTCTCTTTCCTTGTGTGCAAGCGGTCAGGCTCACAGAAGAGGATGTTGAAGTGAAAGCAATGGCATCAGGAAAACCTTAACATACAAGACAACTGGTGACCTTTGTGGACAATTCCCATTTTCTTCTGCTTACTCTGGGGACTGTTGGTACTAAGACGCACTTGCACGGCTGGCATGTTGCTGTCAGGGCTTTTTGATTTTAGATGCCGCAGCTCTTGCTAAATACCATTGCAACACGGAAAGCTTGGCTCCCCTGCTAGAAAACCCAGGAAAGCTCTGGTGACTGTACTGTTGCCTGAAACAAGGATGACTTGCAGCTCTGAAGGTCCCTCTCAGACGTGCTCCCCCATCTCACAGCTCCTGAGCACCACTAGTTGGCTAGTTTAAATTAAATTAAAACTCTTCAGAAAGTAGTAGGAGCTCCATTACGTAGAGGAGCTGACACAAGTCCTGAGGACATCCCGTGGTCCATCTGCTAGGACAGAGCAGAGCACGCAGCTGTTAGGAGGTGCCGTTGCCCTCTTCAAGCTGTCACGTGAAACGTTCCCTCTGTTCATCTGGATTTTACAGCTTTCTGTCATAGGCAATCTCGCTATTACTATGCAGTGGTCTACCCTTCCGTGAAGGAATGAGAATGACCCTATTTTCCTTTATTTTACACTAGCGTATGTCATCTTTATCTAAAAGAAAGGGAAAAAAAAAATACTCCAAGCCACCTTATCTCTGGAAAATTAAACTACCAATAGCATCTCTTCATTTGTGGTTTTGCAAGCCCTTGATCTATACAGCACATGTAAAACAAGCTGATATGTTATCTTGGTGTTTCTCTTCTACAGGGAGTCTTTCTTCCTACATTAAAAAACCCCCAAACCGTACAAAGTTTCTTGGAAACACTACAATGAGATGCAAATTCTCTCAATGAGAATGCAGATTCTCTCATGAGAACTCAGAAGATCTGGAGGTTTATGCTAACTGGGTTAAAATACTGATGTGGAAATTGGATGTTTGTGAAGCATTTTCAGTCAAGCTATCATCAGAATAGGTGCATTAGAAGAGAATACATCCCAGAGTATTTACACATAAACCAAAAATGTACAGGATATTAGATGAGGATTTCCAGAGGAGCCAGAGGGAACCGCCTGTAGGAGACTACAGAAATATACTGGGAGAGGTTTTTTGTGTTCGCCTTTTCTAAATACCTGTTCTGGGCTGGAATCTTACAATTCTGTCACTTGAAAGTTGTGATGTTGAACCCGGCACACCCACGGGATGTGCTGCCCGGGTGTTGGCAGTACCCCTGGCTGATGGAGCGCTCTGCCTCCTTCTGTCCTCTGCTCATCCACTGCACCCTTTAGCGTGTAGGAAGTGATAGGAAGAGCGGGGACATACGATCCGCTGAAGTATGGTCCATGCCCAGGCCGACCACAGGCAGTTTCCCCACTCAGGTTTCCCAATGGCAATGTAGGGGATGTTTCTATGGGTTCATGCAGCCACTACCTTTCAGCTTGGCGACCTGTATTAAAAATCCTGGGTTTCAGTTCTCTGTCTTGTGTCTGATTTTTCCAGCCAGAAATCTTTAAAGGGAACAAAAAAAAAAACTCAGAAAGACCAGACTTAGCATTGGTGGCTCTCCA